TAAATAAATTTATTTATTTATTATTATGAGTTAGTTGCATACTACGTACGGTACCTGCAATGTGTATGAGTGTGTGCGTGTTTGCTTGTGTGTGTGTATGTGTGTGTGTATGTTTGTGTATGTGTGTGTATGTTTTGCGTGTGTGTGTATGTTTGTGTGTATGCGTGTGTGTGTGAGCGTGTATGTTTATGTGTGTATGCGTGTGTGTGTGTGTTTGTACGGCAAAGAAAGAAGAAAACCAACAAAGAGAAAATAAAAACAAAAAAGCCTAATTATGCTAGAGAATGATAGGCTGCAGATGCATGTAAGCCCAGCCCTGCCTAATTTTCCGAATGTTTACAGCGTGGACGAAGGCACACTCTTCTTAAGCTTGACCTAACTTCTATTTATGATTACTTCATAATTACTACACATTATTATAACGACTGTTGTAGTAGTAGTAGTGGTAGAAGTTGTAGCAACAGTAGTAGTAGTAGTAGTACTAGTAGTAGGAGTAGTAGTAGGATGAGGAGTAGTAGTAGTAATAGTGGTAAAGTAATAGTAGTAGTAGTAGGAGTAGGAGTAGTAGTAGTAGGAGGAGTGTAGTAGTAAAGATAGTAGCAGTAGCTGTAGTAGTAGCAGTAGTTTTAATAAAACCCGTTTGAATAAGAGTTGTAATAGTAGTATAAATTTTAATTCTATTAATGTTACGTTGTAAAATGATGTCTGCCTTCGAAGAACCAAGTAAAAAAAAACGAAAAAAAATTTGCTTTTTTTCCACTGTGTTGTTGCCTACACGAGTATAAGTTGTGTAAGGAGGTGGAAATTGCTTTGGAAATTGAAAAACATACATAAAAAATGTAAAAATAAAACAGAATTATACAGAAAATATAGAAAATGTAAATGAAAATACAAAAAAAAAATTTTTAGAAGAATTGGAAAGAAAAAAATACTACTTCACGCCCCCATTCAATGTTGTAGAATTTGTTTTTCACCGAGTTTAATTCAAAAATGTATCTTTATGTGGCTAGTTGTTTTCACTTGTATGTATAATGTTTGTATGTATGTTTGTTTGTTTGTTTACATGTGTGAAAGTGTGTTTGTGTATATAAGTGTGTGTATGCGTTGTGTGTTTATGTGGGCGAATGAGAGAATGTATGTGTGTACATATTTATATATGGGTACTTATATATTAGTTTCTAACTGTTTATTTCATTGTTTTTAATTTAATTTAGTTTAATTAATTATTCACATTAGTATTATTTATAAATAAATTTATATTTGTTATTTTTGTTCCTCTACTTTTCCAATATTCATCAATTTTCATGAGGCTTTTATTAGTTCGAGAAGTTTTGTTGTTGTTCAGGTTTTGTTGTTGATGCTGTTGTTTTTGTTGATGTTGCTGTTGTTTTTGTTGATATTGTTGTTGTTGTTGCTGTTGTTGTTTTTGTTGTTACGCGGTTGTTAATGTTGTTGTTGATGTATTTCATTGGTGATAAAGGCAGAATAAATCAGAGCTATATCAAGACAACAACAAAGACGATATCAGAACAACAACAACAACAACACAACGACAGAACAAGCTAAAGCAACAAACAAATACTGAAAACAAAAACAACAGACATAAAAATAACAGCTCAAACTGCTGCTTAACATTAAAATAAACAACACAAAACTAAACAATATAAACAAGAACTGCTTTCGAAACAAAAAAAACTTGTCAAAAGCAACACACACGAATATTGCTAATCCTTTTCATTACTAGCCAGGTAATAAAACGCTACTTTTTGTGTTGCATCGGTCCGTGATGCAATACTGATACTACAATTACTACCTCTACTACCTTTACTACTACTACTGCTGCTACTACTACTACTACAGCTACTACTACTACTTATGCTGCTGCTGCTACTGCTACTACTACTACTACTGCTTCTACTACAACTAGTGTATATATGTGTGAATGTGTTGTTTATGTAGTAAATTTAGTAGTTTTTTGTCTTCTTCTATTTCTTTTTTTTCAAGAATTACTGCTCTAACGCTCGTTCTATTACTTTTCCTACTTCTATCTCTTACGTAAAATATTTTTATTTTATACAGCCATGCTACATTCATACATACTTCAGTTAATAATTTTGGAACAACTTTAAATTGAAATCAATATTTCTCCAGAGATGTTAGAATGTTTAACCTTCTGCGACGAAATGTCTCACAGAGAATTTTTTAAATAAATAAATGAATTCCTAGAAAGTAAATAAATAGCCTTTTAGTCTGGTTGGTTAATAAGTACTAAACCATAATAGTAACCAGTAATTTCTATATGTGGTATATACAATATATTTATTTTATTTGTTTATTTATTAATAGAATTATTTATTGTATTCTGCAAGAATGTTATTAATTTGAGGTTATGATATATATAAATATATATAATTATTAAATTTAGCATCAAATAAAATCGTCTTCTTATTTAAAATAATTAAAATCAAAGAAATAATATAAATAATATATATTTTTTCTACGAAATTTATGCAATTAGTATTATAATTATTACTAAAATTATCATTATTTTATTTTATTAATTAACTTTTAAAAACGAAAAACATTTTAAAAACACACTCACACATGTATAAGTCATCATCTATCTAAAATCCATCTTGATAGAAAAAAATGTTCTCTGCCAAAAGCGTCTTCAGTCAGACCTAGTCAATACAACATGTTATCTGGACATATACATATACGTGCAATGATACGGTGTAAATACACACATCTTCATACATACACACACACATACACACATACCTACATATACATATATATATGTATATATATATATATATATATATATATATATACAATAATATACAATTGTTTATAAAGATTACTGCGTTTTCGGCATTATTCAACTCGTTGTTGAGCTTCTCAATTTTTCTAACGAGACTTTTATCATGTTGATGAAGTTTATTAAGGTTAAATAAAAAACTTTTAATATTGAAACGTTTGGACCCATTGATAAAGAAACAATTTTTATTGATAATATAAGCTCAAAAATAGTTGAAATATCTGGCGATCCAATTTATATAAAACAAAATGTTTTTCTATTTTTAGAAAAATATAATGTTTTCTGTATTTTTAAAAATATCGCCAAATATGCCCCTAAATGGGAGACACATAAATTAACATTAACAAGCGAGCTGGGCCAAAATGATGATTTTTGGAGACTTGTTTTAACCATAGGATCGTACATACATACAAACAAACAAACATACTTACATTCGATCATACATACATACATACATAAATACATACATACATAAATACATACATACATAAATACATACATACATACAAAAATACATGCATACATAAGCTGTAATTATAATATTCTTGGAAGGTTGAGCAATTATTGTGGCGTACAATATTAACACTACATAAATATGTATGTATGTATGTATGTGTGTATGTTTGCATGTATATATGTATTTAGGTATGTAGTTTTGTATGTATGTATGTATGTATGTATGTATGTATGTATGTATGTATGTATGTATGTATGTATGTATGTATGTATGTATGTATGTATGTATGTATGTATGTATCACTTGTATCACTTTTTTTTTATTCACTCAAACAAAACAAAAGCATGAATGATTCGGAGACCAAAAAAAGAAAATTAATTCTTGTGGGCTCGGCCACCGTGCAGCTCAAAATTGCTTCTCAATGATAAAATAAAATTGTCAATAGGAGAAAATGTATCAATGTTAATGAAATATGTACACACTTATATACATATATATACATATACATTATTATCCTTGAAAAACAGAACTTTTCGTAATTAAAAAATTTTTCAGTTTATTTTTAAAAAGATGCAAAGNNTGTTACAATCTTTAATTTCTTGTGGAATCGTCTCCCAA